TTGGGACATGGGGCTTTTTGGTATTAAAGCTGAGAAAGTCCTGAATGAACCAGGACGAGTTGGCTACCCTCCCTAGAGGTACCTTCTGAAACTCTTTGATAGTTTATGTGAAAAGAGCAAGGTCAGAGTATCCACTATCCTTCTGAGGTCACCTCAGGCTGGCTTGCTTGCTAACAGAAGGTCACTGCTCTCACCAGGTGGTGTCCTCTACCCAATCCTTCCCTTCCAGGTTCCAGTAATCATTTCCACTCTTTGTCGCTGGGGCCCAGCATTGGCAGCAGCTCTGATGCTATTCATCCTAACTACCTGCATCATTTCTGTGGCTCCTCTCCACTCTCCTGCACCTCAGCAAATAGCACTTTTGAAAATAACCCCTGCTTGAGTTACCTAAAGGTGAATGGGCCATGGTTTCCCATGGGGACCCTGACTGACATAGGGGAAAGGAAAAAATACAGAAATAAATGTTATCAGAAACCATTAAGATGCAAAGGCACTTAACCTCCAGAAGCCTCAGTTCCCCATCCATTAGCCTGTGACCAGCTCGTAGGGCTGTTATACGAAGTGATTAGGAAGACCTACTTAAAGCTGCTTCATAGCATATCAAAAGCACTCAGCAAATTTTAGCCACCATTGTAGCTATTATGCTTTACTTCCCTTCTTAACAGAAACAACCAGAAGGCATCACCAGGCTTGCCATTGGTCTGAGAAGGACCCCCAAATCTCACCTCTCCAGATGACCCGAGGTAAGGGACAGAAGTACTGTAAATTTAAAACTTCACATAGGCATAAATTGCTGTTCTTTTAGTATTTTCACACAAGCTTTGAGTGGAGCCGTTAATGTTCTATGCTTTGAGATTGGATCTAGTGGTAAGTCCAATGTCTGTTTTGGAGGAGGCCAGGAATGTGGGAAACGGTGGTTACTCTGCACATTGGCAGGAAATCCCTCCATCTGAGGGACACAACCCCACCTCCTGCCCTGGCCAGCCTGATGAAATATACAAGAAATCAATGGGCCACAAAATGGAAACAATTTGCAACTCAAGAAAAAGGTTCTCCTTTTCTAATTTAATGATGCAGTGACGTGTCTGCAGACACTGGATGAAATGAGGTCCGAGGAGATCCTGGGGAGTGCAGGAGCATGAAGGCTGAACATTAGAAGCAAGAAAGATTTCTCTTTTATTAAAACAAAATAGCACATTTGGATTTATAGTACCCAGTAAAGTATAAGCAAGAAAATGAAAATTCCCCATGAAATAAGACACTTTAGGAAAGACAGAGGGGGTGGAGACAGCACTCAGCTTATTCCGAAGTGAATAATCACACACACACACACACACACACACACACACACACACAGAGGCATGCTTTGCACATAACTTTCTGGGAAAAGTGGGAATAAGGAAAGAATATTTCAGGAAATAATGCATGCTAATGTTCCCAAAAGCAGGGCCAGATTTAAATCATGTTATAATATGCTAAAATAGTATCTCCTAAATACATGGTCACTCAACACTCAGAATGTGACCTTACTTGGAAATAGGCTCTTCAAAGATGTAATTAGTTAAGGGTCTCACGATAAAACTTCCTGGATTTACGGTGGGCCCTAAAACCAAAAACTTGTCTCCTTACACAAGAAAGGAGAGGGAGACTTGAACACAAAGGAGACCATGTAAAAACAGAGGCAAAGATTGGAGCTATGTGTCTTTCTAACAAAACTAAAAAAAGAACCCGTGCTTTGAACGAAAAGACCCCCTAAACAGGTTTTGTGTGAGCAACGTGGCTGTTTATTCACCTGAGTACAGGTGGGCTAAGGTCGAAAAGGGCGTTAGCAAAGGGCAGTGGGATAGGAGTTGGTTTTATAGGTTTGGGGTGGGCAGTGGAAGGTTACAGAGTAAGATCAGTTACAGTAGTTGGGGTGGGGACAAGAAGTATACATTACCGTAAGTTCAGTTACAGTGAAGGGAAGCTTGTGTCCAGGGGGAGCTCCGCTGGGCTATCAGGGATAATGGCGAATGCTGGGTTGGTGGGGAGGGAGGGAGTGGGGAAGGGGGTGGTGATCAGCAGAGGCAGACAGGACTTCAGATCTTCTGGGTCCAGGCTTTCACATGGAGGCCTGACAAAAATGATTCATATTCCTTTGGTCATATATCCAGTAATGAGATTGCTGAGTGAAATGGTATTTCTGTTTTTAGGTCTTTGAGGAACTGCCACACTGTCTTCCACAATGGTTGAACTAATTTACACTCCCACTCAGTGTGTAAGTGTTCCCTTTTCTCTACATTACGTTTATCACATTCACAAGAGCAAAGACATGGAATCAACCTAAATGCCCCTCAGTGGAAGACTGGATAATGAAAATCTGGTGCATATACACCATGGAATACTATGCAGCCATAAAAAAGAATGACGTCCCATCCTTTGAGGAATATGGATGGAGCTGGAGGCCATTATCCTTAACAAACTAACACAAGAACAGAAAACCGAATACTGCATGTTATCACTTATAAGTGGGAGCTCAATGATGAGAATACATGGGCATTTAGAGGGAGGGGAACAACACACACTGGGGCCTATTGGAGGGTGGAAGGTGGGAGGAGGGAGAGGATCAGGAAAAATTACTAATGAATACTAGGCTTAATACCTGGGTGATGAAACAATCTGTATAACCAACCCCACCTGCCCATGTGCCCCTGAACTTAAAATAAAAGCTAAGTTTAAAAAAAAGATTGGTGTTATGCTGCCACAAGACAAAAAGCTGTAGAGGCTACAAGGAGCTAGAAGGGACAAGGGAGGATCCTTCCCTGGAGTCATGGGAGGGAGCGTGGCCCCGCTGCCACCTTGATCTTAGACTTCCGGCTTCAGAATTGTGGAAGATTAAATTTCTGCTGTTTGAAGCCACCAGTGTGTGGTCATTTGTTACAGCTGCCCTAGGAAACAAATGCATATATCAAAATTCTCCACGTAGTTTATGCAGCAGGAGTTCAGTAAACACAGTTGGCTAAAAAATTACCTAGATGAATCTACTGCCCTATAAAACCATGGAGGCACAACTATACTTACTTGTGTTCTCATCCCAGAATGAAAACCCAGCACTTCATACTTCCTGTTTTAAATTTTGCAACGAGTGCACTTCATGTGGAATGAGCATGGAGTTCGGAATGTGAAACAATCCGACTGAGATTGGTATACCTGCTAATAAAACCTGGCACTCTGGTACCCATCACTGCGGGGATGTTCGCATTACTCACATCTTGTCTCAAGCAGGGCTTTATCAGGACGCCATGCCTAATCTTTGCAATGGTGTTTGCATAATCTCAGGCCTCAGGTCATCCAACCATCTAGGGTAGAATCCAAGTTCTTAAGACCCCTTAGCTATTTCTGGCCACAGCGAGGGAGGACTGCCTGCGCAGGGAAGGTGGCAGTTGTCAGGGTGTGGGATGGGGGCTTACTAAGAATGAGGCCACTCTACTTCCGGAGGGGTTGGAGGAGGGCAGGAAGGAAGCAGAAGTAGATAAAGCATATCTCCTACAAGGCCCAGGGCAAAACACAACCCAGGAGTTCTCAGTACCTTGCTCTGCTACACAGCACTCTGCCCAGGAATATTTTGAATCCTGTCTTCGTAGTTCCAGTGTACTTAGTGTGGCCCTGGTGATGTTTCCCTGCTCTATCTCACTACGTGCCTCTTCTTCCCTGCTGGTGAGGCTGTGGACCTCAAGTCCACTTTGCTCGGACTTCTTTTTGTTCCTAAATTATACTATTGCTTTCATCCCTCTGCAATTCTAACTTGATTCCAAGGCTACTAATTCTAGTTATTGTCCTCCGTTCACCCCTCCTGATTGCTCTCTGCCCTTATCCTGGGCCCCAGGCATCCACTTTGACAAACAGCATCAGCCAGGCTCCCTAGCCCTCGTTCCTGGAGAGAAAGGGAGGTACTGGCAGGAGACTGGAGAAGGAAGAGGTCAGATCAGGGTGGGACCAGCATGCCCCCCTCCCACTCAATCCCTGCCAGGCCTCCATGGTGGCCCTGTCTCAGTTTCTCCACAGCCAGAGCTCTGCCACTTCCTTCAGGCCTAGGACTGGAAACTGCTTCCTGCTATTTCAAGTTCCTGAGCGTTAGACTTTCCCTTATCACTTCCTCAACTCTGTCCCCAGCTCTGTAAACTGTGCTTCCATTCCACTCCCTTTTATTCAATCCCTGAGGCAGTTACCAATACTAATCAGGATGCACACATTTAATACTTTATCCAGGGACAAGCACTATGTACACACACATGTGCACACCCTCTCTCTGTTGTATGAAGAGTGTGGCTTCGAAATCAGACACACTTAAATAAACAGGCATGCCATAACTGCCCTGTTCATTGGGATTCTTCAGTCTCTGTGAATCTTAGTTAATTCTTCTGGAAAATGAAACCAGAATCTCTACCTCCCAGAGTGATGATGAAGCTGAACTGAACTTACATTCCTGGTGTGCCTTTCCCTCATCTACTCATTCAGCATCATACAAACATCCCAGCGCCATTGGGCTATCCCCCTTTGAGCTTGCTTACGTCTAGTTGTCTGACCTGCTTCCAGGTACAGTATCTTTTTCAGGCTAGGACTTGTGTGGTCCTGCTCACATGTCTACGCATTTTGCCATAGGATTGACTCCAGCCTCACCACTTCTTATTAGGAGGGATGGATATGCAATTTCCAAAGGAGATTGAGGAGGTAAAGAGATGGGTGAAATGATTTCTTCATGTTTGCCCCAGTCCCAGTAGAACTGCCATGAGGAGCGGGGCGTCTATGCCCCTGCCCACTGCCATTCTCTTGAAGGAAATCTCACTCAACACGTAGTTTCTGAATTGCTTTTCTGGGTGTGTGATGTGCCTGAGATGACGACGGCAATGACTAGGGTGGGGGAAGTTGGAAAAAAAACAGTAGAGGAAGTCCCTATGGGCACAGAAGCAACCCCCGTGCCTTGCATGCAACAACTTAGACGGAAATAGACTCAATTCTCAAATTGATGAATTGGCAGCTGGACTTCCAGCTGCTGGGCGTTCCCATCCTGGTTGAAAATCCTGTGTGACATTGGCCATAAGTGATAAACCATGGAAACCAGTGCTAATAAGATCTTGTTCATCCATCGGTTCTCAAAAACATTGCCTCAGTGAGCACAGCTATGCATGATTAATGATGGTTGAGAACGAATGCAGAGTTATCATTTCAGAAGCAAGGCAAAAGTTGTATGCATTCCCCAAATTTCTGGAAAAAAGGAAATGAATTCAGAAAATGCAAGCAAAGGCAGAAGGGGAAAATACTTATTCAAGATTTGCTACTAGAGATTTCACTTTTAAGATGCTTTTCAGCAAAACAAACAAACAAAACAGAAACATTTAGATTGCTTTCATGAACTATATAAAAGTAAATAGACGCATAAAAGGAGGTTAAAGGAAAGAATTTAAACCACTTTCTTGCCAAAGAACCTTTAAAAATGAAGTATGTTGTTTTTAACAATTTTGAAATAGTCAATAAAATGTTTAGAAACAGTTGATAAAACTACTTTGTTTAGAGCTCAATTTTCAAATTAAATCTATTTCTTTAATTTAAAAAACGAAGTTTACTAAAAAAAAGATAAAATGGTGAGTAATCAAGGCTGAGATTGGCCGCATATTCAGCAAATGAACCTCCTCAAATCATAACTCCTGCATCCATTTCATTACGCCTAGCGATGGCCAGAGGTATTTGTGTTTGTATCGTCATCCAGACTGATGATTAAGGCAGGCAAAATGAACAGATCATCCATGGCCATTCATTGGAGAAGCGTGCAGCTCTGCCTCATAAATAAGACCTATTGTCCTTTTTCTTCCTAATTGTACAAGCAGTACATGGCCACTTCCCAAAACTGAAAAACAAGGAAAATCACAAAACAAAGAACAATCAAGCAGTTGATAATTTCATCTATAATCCAAACTACTTAGAGGCTGAGGCAGGAGGATTGCTTGAGCCCAGGAGTTCAAGGCTGCCTTGAGCTATGATAATGCCACTGTACTCCAGCCTGGGCAACCAGCAAGACCTTTTCTCTAAAATGACAATAATAACACTAATAACTGATTCACATTTCAAAGGTACTCATTGTTAACATTGTGGAGTATGTAGTTCCATGTTTTTCCAGTTCTTATTTCATAAAATAAGTAAAGAAATAAGATATAAATATTATAAATATAAATAATAATGTATGGCTATAAATAAATAATATAAAATGTAAATAAAGTAAATATAAAGCCCTATAATATGATTCCATTTTCTTTCATTACATGGCTCTACCATAATTGACTTTATCCATCTCCAATTACTGGTCATGTATATCTTTTCAATTTTTTTCTGTTTGTTTTTTTTTTTTCTTTTTTTGAGACAGGGTCTCACTCTGTCACCCAGACTGGAGTGCAGTGGCACAATCTCAGCTCACTGCATCCTCTGCCTTCCAGCGATTCTCCTGCCTCAGCCTCCCAAGTAGCTGGGGTTACGGGCGTGTGCCACTGCCTCCTGGCTAATTTTTGTATTTTTAGTAGAGACAGGTGGTTTCACCATGTTGGTCAGGCTGGTCTCAAACCCCTGACTTCAAATGATCGGCCCACCTCGGTCTCCCAACATGCTGGGATTACAGGTGTGAGACACTGTGCCCGGCCCCATTTTTCTCTGTTTCAAAACCAATGAAGTTCCTTTTCTAATGTTTAAAAGAATTCAGTCTGCTGACCCTAACTGAAGATAAAAACTGAAAAACTCAAAAACCAAACCCCATGCCAACCTTCCACAGATTTTCCTTGTTATTTGAGGCCCCAGGATCTTTGCATGTGCCCTTCCCTCCATCTGAAACGCTCCCTCCTGCTCATCTGCCTACAAACCCCTAGCTTTTGCTGGAGGGCACTGTACTTAGTTCCATGTTTTCCTTAAAGAGAAAGAACTTAAATGCCATTCGCAGGAGGGAATAACACTTTCTCCCCACACTCGGTGTTCCTGAAGTACAAGGCAAGAATACGCAGCATTAGGGCGCCCCCTTGCTCCGGTGGACGGCCATGCTAGAGCTTTCACGGGACCTCTCTCCTGGCCTCTTGCTGTTTTGGACTTGACCTTGGAGATTGGCTGTAGTAACACTTCTGGCTGGCCAAACATTCATTCTGCAGACTCAGTTACCCTCTTGCAGTAAACCACAGGTCTTCACATGGACAGGAGGACTGCAAAGGCCAGAAGTTCCACGTTTCATTCTTCAAACTTGCTTAAGTCATTTTAAGTCTTAAGTGGATATTTCAATACCTAGCTGAATTCTACACGTAATTCTCAGGGTTCAGAACTGGGACAGGATCCAAAAGTCTTCTTGGACCACATCTTTCATAACAAAATTAATCTTTTATACATACATTTTCTAGCACTGAATCATAATTATTTGTTCACATGTGCATATCCCATTTGAGTCTAAGGCCTCCTTGAGGCAGATATTAGGACCTACTTTTCTCTTTATTTCCAGTACCTAGCATAATATCTGGCATATAGGAACACTTAGCAAAAAATCTGTTAAACAAGAAGATTTCAAATTGTTGGCAGTGTCACCTATTATTAAACAATCAGATAAATTTCCAGATTATCCAAAAAAGTTTCCCTAGAAATAACAGATTATTTCCCTAGAAATAACAGAACATCAGACGAATTTTTATCCCAAAGGTTTCCTTAGAAATAACAGATTATTACAATCATAAGACATCCTTAGTATGGTGATTCTCACATGTTCGCATGTTTCAGAATCATCTGGAGCAGAGAACACCTGCTGGGCCACCCCTGAGTTTCTGGTTAGTAGTTTTGGGCCCCAGAACTTACATTTATTTCTAGCAGGCTCTCAGGTGATGTTGATGTGCTTGCTCTGGGGACCACATTTTGAAAACTACTATCCTAGAACAATCATTCTCAAAAGATTATCAGAATCACTTCTGTTACAGCTTGCCAGGAATACATTTTTAAAAATTTAAAAAAAGAAATTAAAAAGAATTACCTCTGTGTTTGCTAAATTTCCACATATTGCTACAATACTCCAACCTGGAAGGCGGATGAAGAAATCAAGTATTTCATACATGAATTTGTGGTAGCAAATGCATCCACAGACAGATAATTGAAAATCACTGGACTTGGGCCACACTTACAAGCTAACTTTGGAATGACATGCAAAAAAGAATTTCCTGGCCATATCTTCTGTGACTCATTCTGTAACTGTGAATTATTGAGTAACTAACAATTTTCTGGGGAAATCTACTCCAAGACACCTTATGGTATCTTGGTTTAGCCTAAACTTCACTATTTAGTTCCTGATTTTATCGTGCCCTATAGGACTGTTCTTCTGAACTTTCTGATCAGAATACAGCAAGTCTCAGGACAGCAATCTCTTCGCCAACAAATATTAATTAGACACTCACTAAGGGAAAACCACTATGGAAGCCCCAAAGTGGAGAGAAAGAGGCAAAATATTTAGTTGTCTGGAAATATCTTATTAGCTGGTTGGGAAGATAGAAAATAGATACATCTTTGAAAAGGCATTCCTGATAACAAATGATAGTTATTCAAAGATTGATGCAGATGAGAAAAGCTAAGTTAACTCTGAGGGAGAGGAGGATGGATTTCTCAAAGCTGGAGAAGTAAAGAGAAGCCATTTGATGTAATCCCAGCACTTTGGGAGGCCGAGGCGGGTGGATCACGAGGTCAAGAGATCGAGACCATCCTGGTCAAAATGGTGAAACCCCGTCTCTACTAAAAATACAAAACATTAGCTGGGCATGGTGGCGCGTGCCTGTAATCCCAGCTACTCAGGAGGCTGAAGCAGGAGAATTGCCTGAACCCAGGAGGCGGAGGTTGCGATGAGCAGAGATCGCGCCATTGCACTCCAGCCTGGGTAACAAGAGCGAAACTCCAACTCAAAAAAAAAAAGAAAAAAGAGAAGCCATTTGAAGAAGAAGGCACTGCAGCGTTATATCTGAAGATAGAATTGAAGAGGCAAAATCATACCTAGAATAAAGTTCCAAAGAGAGCTTGAGACCCAAGCCAATTATAGAAGGACAGGTCTGGTGATAGACATAGGACATCTTGACTTCCATAAAAACAACAAGGGCATCTCTGTCAATTAGCTATTGGCTCTCTTCTGCAGATGACATTGCTCTGGAATAGTATGAGTCTGATTCCTCAGTACCATCTGGCATTTTTCTGGCTAAGAGTAGCTCTTGTTCTGAAATGTAAAAATGGTAGTAGTTAAAATAGCACAGAGAAAATGGTGGCCTGTGTTTATCGACATGGCTTAGCATATAGGAGTCAATAACTACTGGATGTTGTAGAAAACGCATTCATTTTGATGAGCCCTGAGGCCCTGGAATGCCTTTCTCCAGTAGGTGATAAAATTGCTGATTGTTGTCTTTGGGAGAAGTTAACGTGGAAATTAAATGTGTCCATGAAGAATAATAGCCCTTTTGATTTATTTTTGGACAAGGCATGTGTGTTACTGCCTATTCCTTCACTTGATGTAGCAAATACTAATGATGATATCGTGGGGTTCCTTAGTTATTGAAAACCATGTGAAACATCCTAAAATCATTCTGTAAGTTAATCTTCTGTTTATTTCTATATCATGTAAATCTGGCACCGCACCTGAAATCAGAAATAGAAAATATTGAAAATGTTGAAACCAAACGCAGCATGCACTGAGATGAGACATGACTGTTACAGTGTCTACACTAGTGACATCAAAGTCTAACTGTGGATGAATAGGAGATTGAAATGGTTAATTATTAATTATTGTCTTGGAGCCTTCATGCTTTTATAAAATCCTCTGTCCACATCTGCAGCTTTGGCTGAGGGACATAATCAGACCACTGTGCCTTTATCAATAAACTTACCTCTTCCAGGAAGCAGCTCCGTGGGCGTAACGGACACAACTAAATCTTGGGAAATCAGATTCTCTCTCAGAGGAAATGGGGTTTGGCTCACTGAGAGATTGTGTCCATTACTAGTGGGAGTCAAAACAAAATCATGCAGACTTGAGACCAGTGGTCATATTGAGCCCTGAGCAGAGGAGCCAGTCTTTGGGGGAAGAAGGCTGAAGATATGCCCGACAGAAAAGCTGCCATGTGACTTTCCAGTTCTCGTGGGACCCAGCAGACACCCAACACTTTGTTTCTCATGGGTGCAGAACAGAAAGCTGACGGTGGCTACAGCAGGGCCCGCCATAGGCAGCAGTGCTTATCCGTGGTGGCATCAGCTGTGCAGCCCAGTGGGTCCATGGGTTTGGTTTGAGTATCTGCTTGCGTCAATGTTCATAATCCCCTTCCATGCTTTTTTTCTGGCAAAATTATTTTTTTGTTGTTGTTATATCTCTACATTTATTTAAACTTTTCTCTTTTTTTTTTTAATTGTACTTTAGGTTCTGGGGTACATGTGCAGATCATGCAGGATTGTTGCATAGGTACATACATGGCCCTTCATCTCTTCATCACCTATATCTGGTATTTCTCCCCTCTTTATCCCTCCCCACCCTCCCCATCCCCAGCAGTCCCTCCTCTAGCCCCCCACAACTGCTTAAGTGTGTGATGCTCCCCTCCCTATGTCCACGTGTTCTAATTGTTCAACACCTGCCTTTTTTTTTTTTTTTTTTTTTTTTTTGAGATGGAGTTTCGCTCTTTTTACCCAGGCTGGAGTGCGATGGCGCGATCTCGGCTCACCGCAACCTCCGCCTCCCAGGTTCAACCTCAGCCTCCCAAGTAGCTGGGATTACAAGCATGTGCCACCACTCCTTGCTAATTTTGTATTTTTAGTAGAGATAGAGTTTATCCATGTTGGTCAGGCTGGTCTGGAACTCCCGACCTCAAGTGATCGCCCGCCTTGGCCTCCCAAAGTGCTAGGATTACAGGCATGAGCCACAGCACATGGCCCAAAATGAATCTTTATGGCTTTTAAGTGAATAGATGTCATCGCTGGATCCAAATGGAACCACACTGTCTCCTCCTGAAACTGGAGATCCTCAGAATATGTGTGGGATCAGCTAGCAGCACCCTGAGGCTGCTCTGTGGCAATGGTGTGAATGCCACAGGTACTGATTTCTGTAGCCATGAACTTCTCAGGGGATATTTGTCCTCCTCCCTATAAAGATTAGTAAAATCTCCAGGCAAGATGACCATTCTTTACATTCACATGGCCTCCAGGAGCGTCAGTCTGGACTCAGGAGTCCTCAGGAATGCAGCGCCTCATAGCTTTGGCCAAAGGCTTTTGACAAAATGCTGGGGCAGGGGTCGTGGCTATGGGGTGGGGGTGTGGCTGTGGGAGGGGCATGGCTGAGGAGTGGGCCTGGCTAATAACCATTCACCACAGCTGGAGACTATTTTCATCTCCTTCTCAAATTCTGTCATAAATTCTGTGGTAACTCTCCAGAAAAATCTTCCTACCTCTCCCCTGTTCCCACTCGCCCTTAACCCGCTACAACTCATCCTGGCCTAGACGCCGTTTCATTTCATCCACATAGCCCATGAGGCAGCCCTTTGTGGTTAAATGTACCTACTATGGCATAGTAGTATTTTTGAAACATTAACTGATTTTTTTTTCTTCTGATATTTGTCCTCTTCCTTCCGTTTATCCTCCACGCCCACTCATTGCCCATACTCCTATCAGGCAGAGGGTCTGTTCTGGATTCATTATCTCAAGGACGGGCAGAAGGTAGAAGTGATCTATTGATTTAGATTTGATGTTTACCAAAGCCTCCAACAATTAAGGAGATTACACCAAAATGCCTCAATAGAATACTTTAAAGAGGGGTAAAAAGTCCACAGACCTCTCGAGAAGGGGAGATCATACCACTCCAACACAGGGTCTCAACAAAGTAAAAAGACTTCAAAGAGAAACAGCACCAAAGCCCTGAATTTCCTCTTTGGACAAATAGGCACAGTAAAAATCTGTTGGACTTCAGGTACAATGAAGATGCCAGCATTTCCAATGTGGGTAAACTGGCTTCTCTCTGCATGTTGGGCTCCACGATTCAATTGAAACTCTAAGAAGGAAAAGATTACAACAGCAACTGAGATTAAATTTTCTGCTATCCTCATGGCAATAGAGTTTAAGGGTCTGAATGAGTTTCATGGGAAGGAAATAAGTAAAGTAGCAAGTATGTTCTTTAAATTGGAGTCTTAAACACTTGCAGTATCTGTGATGTATCATCCTTTAATCAATAGACTCTCAACAGCTGGAGGGGAAATGATGTGTCTGAGTTCTCCCACAGACACTCTGGAGCAGGTATCCCCTCTGTGCTGCGAACCCTGCTGGCAAAAACACACTAACCTATTCAGAAACAACTCTGTGTCTCTTGAAAGCTGTTCATTTAATATCTGTGGCACATGGATAGGCACCAAGGTCTTTCAAAGGGATTAACAATGTCGACTGTTTTTAACTGCTTATCATACATGCTTAAGACAGAGTGGCACTTCTTGTTATTATCTCAATTTATTTCATTTGTTTGCTTCCATTTAAATGTTCGTTTGCTTGCTTGCTTGCTTCTTTCTTTCTTTCTTTCCTTTTTTATTTCTTTCTTTGCTTCAATAGGAGCCTATTCTAATCTCCAGAAATATCATGTAAAGCAGTAGGTATATAGATAAGAAAAGAATACACATTCAACAACAACAAAAAATCCCGTTTTTAAAAACAGCACAGTGGAGGTGGGCAAGTGCCTGGTGTGAGATGGTAAAATAAGCACAGGAGTGTACCACTGCCCTTAGCAGATGTTCTGCTCAAATGACTGTATGGAAGTTCAAAAAGAAATTAATCTTTAGCAATGAAGAAACTGAGATCAATGAAGGTCTTTCGTAGATGGGAGACTTCAATGCATTTCTTGAATATGGAAGCAGATGAGAACATGGAACAGAGGAAACCAAGGCCCAATTACGTGTATGGGGGGACTTCAGGGGAAGTGGCTGCCAGTCAGCCTTATAAGATGTCAGCCAGCATTTAGGCTAGGGTTACTGGTTACACTCCCACATAGGGCAGAGAGCACCAGGTTTTTATCTCCTATAAAGGGGGAAAGAATAGCAAGAGACTCTTCACTAAAACAAATGGATAAACCAGCTGGGGAGGAATTAGTATTTTCGTGGGGATGTTGATCTAAGAGGAAAGCTCCCCTTGTTCTGGCATTTGGTGGGTGGAGATGAAGCAGAATGTCTCATCTCAGTCTGATTCCCACACATGTACATCCTAAAGCAAAATCTGTCAGTTAGTCCTGCGCATTTGCACAGATTTCCTTGTCGGCCTTCTCATTCAGGGGCGGTACCTCTTAAGAAACATATCACCAACCCAAATTAAAAAGAAACTTGCACTAGATAGCTATTATTATAAAACAAATCCATCACTCATCAACATGAATGTACACAAAAGATCGTCAGACATTTGAGGACAACCACCAGCAGGAAATTAAGAAAAAAAGACCAAATAGTCTCAAAGGAAAAGAAATAATTCAAAAAGAAGAAATTTTAAAACTTGTTAATAGCTATCTTGAAAGAAATTTGAGAAGATATTGCATTTATAAAACAAGAACAGTATGACTGAGAAGAGAACTAACAGAGAACACAGAAGAGTTCTTATAAATTAATATATAACCTCCAAAATATGAAATTCAAAAGAATAGCTGAAATATAAAGTCAAAATGCTTTCCTAGAGCTTAAAGCAAATGACAAAGAGATGGCAAATTTGAAGGATAAAGGCAAGAGTCATAGAGAATTAATACAGGAGTTACAGAAACCCATCAGGTAGCTAAGAGGAATTATGGAGAGAACAGAACATGGATGGGATGATTTTTTAAAGAAATAATAGGATACACTTCACATTTGATGAATCCATTGAGTACTCAGCAGGTTGAATGAAAATAACTGCTCAGCCAGTACATCCTCTTGAAGTTTCAGAACACCAAACATTAAAAAATATCGTAAAGTTTCCAAAGACAAATTCAGGGTACCATCTAACTTGTCATTAGTCATATTGGCCAGAAGATAATGAAACAATGTGTTCCAAGTTGTAAGGGGAAAAAAAATCTTTGGAGCCTAAAATTCTATGTCCAAACTATCTTTGCAGTATGAGAGTAAAATAAAAATATTTTCAAATAAAGACCTGGATGATATATCACACTTCCTGTCCGAGGAAGTCTTCGAGTATATATGTTAGTAAAACAAGGAGAAAAACAGAAAGATGACATGGAATCCA